AGTCAGGGCAGGAACTCAAGGCAGGAGTTGATGCAGAAGCCATGGAGTATGCTATTTTCTGGTTTGCTCCCATGGCTTGCTCAGCTTACTTTCTTATACAACCCAGGGCCACCTGCCCAGGGTTGGTACTACACACATCAATCATTAATGAAGAAAATGCTCTCTCTCTCTCTCTCTCTCTCTCTCTCTCTCTCTCTCTCTCTCTCTGTGTGTGTGTGTGTGTGTGTGTGTGTGTGTGTATGTCAGTGTGTTTTAAAGATGATGGGTCTTCTACCAACACATTGTCACCAGATCTGACTAGGATTGTTTTTCCACTGCAGAGTACACAATGCAGGAAAATTGTCCTCCCAAGAGAACTTGACATCTCTGGTACTATTTCTCATTAGAACCCCACCCTAGGATTCTCATCACAGTCATCCTTTATTCTCCAGGCATTTAGAGTGATGACAGAAGAGCCTGTGGCCCAGATAGCACATTTGGTTTGGAAATAGTTATCATCTCCATGTCTATCTCTATATCACCTGTCATGATCCAAACAGGGATCCTTAGACAAAATCAAGAAGTTACATTTTTCTGTAAGCACACCATACAGTGTCTCTTTGCATCTCTCCTTTCCTTTCTTTAGATAGGGTCTCTAATTCACTATACTGTAGTTTATTTATTTTTCTTATTTAGTTTTAGGTAGGGTCTCCCTCTGTAGACTAGGCTGGAGTAGAACTCAGAGGGAGCTTCAGCTGCCTCCTGTGCTATAGTGGATACACCCATGTCCCACAGGTGGGAAAGACATTTTCATATGCTCTGTTAGCAGGTCTTGCATCCTCTTGCACAGGGAAGTGTTTCCTTTCTCTTCCCCCACAATGATTTCTACTTACCAAGTCCTGAGGGACCAGAGGGAACAGAATTCCCTAATTTTCAGTTAGTATCCTGGTAAGCCTGTAAAGACCTCAGTGTCATATCTCCCTTTTCCCTCTTTCTCTTTAGTCTTCTCTTTAGTATTTTCTAATCTCGGAGACAGAGACATGATGGAGAGATCCCCCCCTTTTCTCTCCTGGCCCTTATTGCCGGAGAAAGTCTTGGGTGATTCTAGCTTTATAGTTCCATGAAGTAGGTTTATCACGTGAACATTTTCTGACTATAAATCATAAAGGAATTTATTTTAAAACAACTCTTTGGCAATTATGTATAGTTTTACTACTTATTACAGATGAAAGTAAATTTTTACATACTAGTAAGGTGGGCACACTTGTTTATTTTTTTCATAGAGAATTAAATCTTGGCTAAATATTTGATACTGTCAGACACAGAACATTTTCAGCATTTTTTTTCAGATTTTATGAGTATTTTCATTTTATTTTATTTTTTTATGTTTTGAATACATAAATTTATTGTACTCAGTGCTTAAATCCATGACAAATGTTTCACCTATATCCATGTTCTATCAGACCCCTTTTAAAACACAATATATACACCTATAGAAAAAGTAAGTAGGAAAATATTAATTATAATGTAGTATATAGACGAAGGACTTCTGCATTCTAACATTGTTTGAGTGACATATAAGGGGACTTGTTACAAGTCATAATGCCACCACATTTGCCAAGAAAAGACCACAGAAACTTGATACACTATCATTTGGATGTATCAAGTGTAACTGACATTTTTCTCTTGGATTTAGGGTGATATATTTAAAACGAGATGTGGTGGACAATCGGTTACATTTACTACTATTGATACAAAACAAGAATCGCCAAATGGGTGAGTGTTGGTCACAAATACATCTGTAAAAAGCTGTTTCTTAGCCTCTTGTTCTTAGGAACTGAACATCCTGTGAGGTTTATCATTACTTTTCTGCAGGGGTGTAGGTGGTTCCCCCCTTCTAATGTTTTTCATTCCCAGATGCAAAAGTGATTGTTGCACCATGTTTCTCCTTTTTCAGCAGTCAGAAATGAAGATCGTCCACAGTAGCCCCAGCCCAACCAGATGGTAAAGAGTCTGAATGTAGAAACAAGACATGCTGTAGCATACCCAGCTTCCCATGGGTTCTAGGGATCCAAGAACT